ACCATTACCAACCTAAACCACCAAAGAAACCAGATCTAGAACCCAAAACCACGAAACCACCACTACCCACCCACGAAACCACCACTATACACGAAAACATTTTGTTTTTCATTCTTCAATTAAACAAAAAATTAAGTAATAAAATTTAACAACTTACAAGTTATATAATCAAAATCTTCAACAAATAAGCTTGAATTCAACATAAAATTCGTAGAACATAAATTTCCAAAAGTAAACCATTAATGAAGTTTGAAGAAATTTGGGCTAAGAAGATGACACTATTAATGATGTTTAAAGAAAAAAGAGGAGAGAGGAATAAAATTGGGGGAAAAAGGAAAATGTTGTAGAAGATGGAAGAAGAACAGAGGAGAGAGAAATAAAATTGGGGGAAAAAGGAAAATGTTGTAGAAGATGGAAGAAGAACAGAGGAGAGAGAAATAAAATTGGGGGAAAAAGAAAAATGTTGTAGAAGATGGAAGAAGAAAAGAGGAGGAGAAGAAAAATTATATATATATATATATATATATATATATATATATATATAGAGAGAGAGAGAGAGAGAGAGAGAGAGAGAGGGGGGAAGGCTCATGTAAGAACCCTCCTCTATATAAGAACCAATCTTATATAAGAACCCATCTGGACCGTGGATTATAATTGATCCGACCGCTCAAAATGAAAGGGTTAGTAATGACACTTTTGTAATTGTTGCAACATACTTTCCCCTTCTCATTCACGTTTCTTTTCCCTTTCTCTCTCTTGCCTTTATACATCATACAAGTACAACTCTCTCTCTCTACTCTCTCATGATTTTGGGTGCAAATTCCTTCAAGAAATTAGGGTTTTCTTCACAAAATTAAGGTTTGTTGTTCAATTCTTATTATTCAATTCTTTCTATTCATTCTTTTCGATTTTCATAATTTTTGATGCGATTTTACAGCATTTTTATGCGATTTTGGAGCATTTTTTATGCGATTTTCTCAAATTTCTTTAGCGATTTTTGGCTGCGATTTTTCACAATTTTTTTGAGCGTTTAATTAAAGAGAAATCTGAGTGTTGAGCGAATTTATTTTAATTTACTGAGCGAATTTTTTTAGCACATTATTTAACCGATTTTTGGTCGATTTTTGATTGATTTATGCGATTTTTGGTCGACTTAACTTTCTTAATTTATGCTGGATTATTTCGGCTTAATTTGTTCTATAGTGTTCGATTTTTTCGGCTTAAGTTCATCAGTTGGTGTTTGATATTTTCGGCTTAAGTTTTATCAATTTGTGTTCGATTTATTTAATTACATCATCAAATTTTCTGAATTTTGTGTTTTTATCTGATGTATTTTGCTAATTTTGTTTATGTCATTGATTGATTGCATGTGTTTATTATGAATGTCAGGTTTATAATTTTTCTTTTTGATCCTTAAGTTTATCATAATAGTCATCTTCCCCATGTTAATTTCCTGTAATTAATTTCAATGGTTTAATGTATGAAACTTCTTTTCTTATTTATTTTGGACTATAATTGATCATGTTCTAAAGATTTGTGCATATATTCTAAACTAATTTGTATTAAGTTCTAAATTTATCAACATTTTGAGCTCTTCACCTTTGGGACTTGAGATACTACATGAAGAAACATAATGGTCTTAGCATCGATACCAATAGAAAGGTTCAGGGATTAGGCTAGACATATCATTGCAACTATTCTAGACATGGTATTGCTTGAAGGAATTTATGGCTAGTTTTATGACTTGTGTGCCTACATTCCCCACATGATATGAATATCATGAGTATAATTTATGATATTAGGACTACCTTTATTGTTAATTAGTTATGTTTTTGTCAATGCTTGCCTGATTAGCACTAGTCTTAACATGGGATAATGTTTGCCTTCCCAAATATGCAGTAAAGGAAAACTAATGATAATATGTATAGCGTAATTAACCTACTAGCTCAATGGGTAGAGCATTGTGCAAATGCACAAAAGATGTGGGTTCGAATCCCACGTAGGTTCATTTATATAATGTGAAAATGAAATCTTTGTATAAGATCAAGTTTAATAATTGTAACATAGTTTCCATTTAGAGATAACCAATGTAGGAATCGAACCTACATCCCTATGCATTTGCATAGTGCTCTACCCTTTGAGCTAATAGGTTTTAGCAAACCAAAAATTAAAAAATGGTACAATAATTACAATAACTCTATGTTCTAATGTTTTATCCCTATGTTCTAAATTAGTCTAAGTTGTCTAACTATGTTCTAGATGTTTTTTTTTCCAGATATATTCCAACTTTTTTCTACCAATGTTCTAACTCCTTTTCCTAGCTACTCTGTATGGTGTTAAGCCTGCGTGATATTATTTTATCTATTTTCTAATTTTTTTCCCCCCTATATTCTAATTATTTTTCCTATGTACTAAAGTTTTAGTCTTATGTTCTAAATTTTTTCCCTATGTTCCAAGGGTTGCATGTTGATTTTAATCTTTTACTTTTACTACGTGGAATGGAATCGAATATAATTGTTTCTATTGGAGGCTTAGAATGCCAATGAGGGAAAAGACTTGAAATTAAATAGTGTAATCCAACCTGAAATTAAACCATAATAAAATCTTATGTTCTAATTTATTTTCCTATGTTCTAAATATATATTAATTTTTTTGTCTATATTATGTTCTAAATTCTTGTAGCTATGTTCTAAATTTTTGCTACATATGTTCTAAAATTTTCTCTCTATGTTCTAAGTTTTTTTTTCTATGTTTTAAATATTTTTGGCCTATGTTCTAATAGTTTTTTCTTATGTTCTAAATTTATTCTGCCTATGTTCTAATATTTTTTTTTCCTATGTTCTGTTCTAGATTAGTTTTCCTATGTTCTAAATATTTCTGCCTGTGTTCTAAATTTTTTTTATATGTTCTAAATTTCTATGTTCTAAATTTTTTTTATATGTTCTAAATTCTTTTGTTCTAAATTTTTTCTTTAATATGTTCTAAATTTTTCTATATGTTCTAAATTCATATGTTCTAAATTTTTTTATATGTTCTAAATTTTTTCTTTAAAATGTTCTAAATTTTTCTATATGTTCTAAACCCTATGTTCTAAATTATTCCTATGTTCAATTTTTTTTCTTCTACTTACGTTCTAATTTTTTATTCCAATGTTCTAAATTTTTTCTTCTATGTTCTAAACTTCTAATTTTTTTATTCCTATGTTCTAAATTTTTTAATTTCATCTACCAATGTTCTAAAAAAAGCCCTCACATTGGTTCACTAATGGAATTCCTATATGTGCTTCTCAAGGACTATAAGAGTGAAATTGAAGGACTATAAAAGTGAAATTGAAGACCTGCTAGTCTGCTACAAAAAGAGCTTAATTATGTCATGCAAAAATATGAAACTATCAAGACTAAAATAGTGGCTACAGAGGCAATTGCATCTATGTCAACAAAGCACATGATTAAGCTTCGTAAGGCAACCAATTTGATTAATCAACAATACAAAAGATCATATAAATGTACCTAACAAGATTTTGATTCTTTCTTTTGAAGGTTGAGACAGGAGACAAATGTTAAGAAGATACAAGAAAATCTTTGGGCACATTCCTACAGCTTCTAAGACCTACCTTTTAAAAGAGTTTTCATATCTTTTACCAAATGCATATTACACATTCAACCTTCAATAAACCGAGTCACATTCACTCCCAACATCAACTAACACTCTATCATTAGAGATTTAGGGTGTAGAGCCTCATGATACTCTATAGTTCCAAGGTCAAAACTAATTATTGATTATAAACATTATCAATGTATTTGAACATATACTTTAGAACATAGTATTACTAATTTTAGAACACATACTTTAGAACATAATACTACTAATTTCATAACATAATAGTCAATCTTTAGAACATAATTATTAATTATTATTATTTTTTAATTAAAAAAACATAAATTATTAGAGTCGTTAAACATGTTAATCATACTTTAGGTTATAATTTAAGAACACATAATTAGACATAAATTCCAAACTTTTGGAGCATAGATATAGGTTATTAGAACACAAACATAAACAATATTGTTAGAAAATTTCTTACATTACACATGTATAAAGGCGAATTTGTTCCAGAAACTTCTAGATTTTCTTCATTCTAACCTTGCAAGTTCTCTACAGATTTGATTAGGTTGTAATGAAATTAGCACAAATCAACCAAAAAATCCAAATAAATACATAAATTCTTCAAAATGATCAAATTATCAATTACCTTTGAGCAATTAATTTCTGTATATGTTTTTGATGATCTTCTCCTTCAAATCAATTTTTTCTTCAATTTATTCTTGCATTAAATTAGGGTTCGAAATTACAAAATTGGCAAATCAATTTCTCAATTAAACTTGTTTGATGCAAGTTTATGCTATGAACAATAATTTTCGTTGAAAATGAGTGAAAATTAAAATAAGAAATCCTCGGAATTTCCTTCAAATAGCAGCAATTTTGGTGATTTTCGAAGTAAATTTGGGGGTTTTAGGAGAGAGAGTGTGGTAGGAACTCAAGGAAGAGAGGGTTATGGTTAAGGAGAGAGAAAATTTTGGGGTATGTATGTAGGTAGTCGTTTTCGTATTTACTATAATGCCATTACTTGCTTTCCTTTAATCTGCAGCGTCTATTTCAATCTAATCCTACTGTTGAGATTGATTCTTATATAACTAGAGTTCTTATATAAGGAGGGGTTCTTACCGGATCCCTCCCCTATATATATATAGAAATGGGATCATATGAGACCACATCCCTTATGTGAGCACCCTTTTTATATGTGAGGACTCATTATAACCGTTGGATCAATTACATCCAACGACCACAATTAATCCCGGTCAAATGTGTTTTTTCTTTCTCCTCCTTCCTCTTTCACGCACAATTTTCTCTCTCCTCGTTCAAGTTCATCCTTCCTCAACAAATTTGAAAGATTTTAGAGAGAGAAGCAATTATTGGCAGTAGAAGAGCTTGAGAAATCAATGGCGGCAACTGAGATTGAAGACCAAAGAAAAGACGATGATGATTTGGAGAAAGGCGAGATTATAGACGATAACTCAAACGCCGAAAAACCCAGCAAATTAATCGCAACAACTCATCCTCTTGAGAATGCTTGGACTTTTTGGTTCGATAATCATACTGCTAAATCGAAACAAGCTGCTTAGGGTATCTCTACTCGACCCATTTATACTTTCTCTACTGTTGAAGAATTCTGGAGGTTTCTCTTTTTATCTTTGTTTTTCAATTTTATTAATTTGATTATGAATTTATTGAATTTGGTTGTTTGAATCTTTTTGTGATGTGGGTGATTGATTGATTATGTTCTTGATGTTGTATGCAAAGAAGCTGAGAATTGTGACTGCTTACAGGGTATTCAACGAAATGCCTCACTGAATTTTTTTTTTCAGTTTTCTTTCATTTTTGTTTTTTGTGTTTTTGTTTTTCGGTGTTGGATCTGAATGTGGGTGTGAAATGGAATGGAATTGCAAGGTTTCAAGTTGATTTAATTATTTCGTCTACTTTGTCTGTTCAAAGAATTCTGAGTTTTAATTTGTTTAGCTCAGAAAACGGCCTTTGAATGTCTGATTTCATTAATGTCTTTGAATTATGACTATTTTACAGATTTTTTTCCCACTTCTTTTGGTGATTATGATTTATGGTCAGCAAAGGCATTGGACATTCCGCACTTGAATCCATACTTAAAAAGAGATGCAGATTTCACACATGGAGTAAATTTTGCGGTTGCTGGTGCCACAGCACTCCCTGCAGAGTTTCTTGCAGATAAAAATATAGTAAATTATGTCACAAATAGCTCTCTCAGCGTACAGCTTGATTGGATGTGGTCGCACTTCAACTCCATTTGCTATAATGACCAAGGTATACGGTCATTTACGTTCCAAATTCACTTATTATGATGGCTAATATACAATTAGGCCAGGTCTCGTTCTTTTCACCTAAAATTCCCTTGTCTGAACTTATAGACCCCTTATCTAAACTCAATGAACTACAAATTTCCCGGAACATATAAGGTGATCATGTCATGCATACACACTTGACTAGCATCTGATAACACTGATCTAATTGAAATTGTTGAACAGATTGTGCAGAAAAACTCAAGAATTCCCTATTTGTAGTTGGGGAAATAGGAAGCAATGACTATTACTATGCATTGCCACAGGGAAAAACGATGAAGGATGTCAATGGCATGGTTTTTGATGTTGTCCAAGCGATTATTGAAGGCATCAGAGTATGTTTGTTCTCCTAACAATGAAACATTAATCCCGGCCTCTTGTTTTTATGCATTTTTTCTGAATTTTTATGCAATTATGTTATTTCAAAGTATTAAATTAGTATCATGGTATGTTGTTAAGAGGGTCATCCAAAGTGGTGCTACCAAGATAATTGTACCGGGAACCTTTCCTTTAAGCCATTTCCCTGCCTATAGCACAGCATGTCAAGCCAAGAACTCTATAACCAACAGAAAATTGCGTCTCTTAATCAACTTGTCAGCCTATCACAATGATGAGCTACAAAAGAGACTTCAATTGCTGAACCAAGATTATAAGAACATTACTGTCATATATGGTGACTATTACAATGCTTTTAACCGGCTTTGCTGAACCAAAACAATTTCCAATTTAGGCACTTGCCTTTGCTAGTATCCCCCTTTTAAGCTTTTGAGCTACAAGAATTGGTCACGGAATTACGGATGCATACAAAGTATACAGAAAATTATAATTTATTGATTTCATATGAATGATATTTACTACTTCCTTTTGAAAAACTGAGAATTCATTCTTGTCTAAAGTTTATTCGTTCAGCTACTTCAGTGTGAATCATCTTTTCACTTATTCCGCGAAGGATATATTAGATTTGAGCCTTATTCACTCATACCTGGAACTATTGAATTAAAAATTCTGGTATCATGGTTATTGGATGTGGGCTGCTATTAATTAATCTGTTGATGCTCCTATCCCAGTGTCCCTTATGTATGCCTTGTTGGATAATTTGTATCCTTGTGATGTCTGTAGATTACATATGTTACCATTCAAAAGGACATATATTTGTTACAAATGTGCAACTAGCTATTTGCTAAATGAGCAAAAAATTTATTGCTCATTTCCCAAATGATCAAAGAAATATTTGCTTATTTTACAAATGTGTAACTAATTATTTTCTCATTTGACAAATGAGCAAACTAATGTTTGCTCATTTCACAAATGAGCAAATAAATGCTTGTTGATTTAATGAATGATTAAAGAAATGTTTGCTCATTTGACAAATGAGCAACCAACTATTTGCTCATTTGAGAAATGAGCAACCAACTATTTGCTCATTTGACAAATGAGCAACTAAGTTTTTGCTCATTTGTTAAATTAACAAATAAGTATTTGCTCATTTGACAAATGAGCAACTAACTATTTGCTCATTTGACAAATGAGCAACTAACTATTTGCTCATTTGCTAAATGAGCAGATAATTTTGGCTCATTTTCTCAAAAATTAATATTTATTCTTTACTAATTTTTCAAAAATGAGCAAATAATGTCAAAATGAGCAAATATTTTGTCAAATGACGGAGAATTAATTGAAGTTACGCGCATATATGTTTCCATATAAGAATGAAGAAATTAAGAAAACAGTGTAGCGTGATGCTAAGTGATATACTGAGATCATGGAAGATATCACATTTGAATGGAGTGAGTTATAAGTCTTTATGATTGAGAGAACCATGAATAAGGGGAAAGGGTTTGCTTTGTTTTTCTAAAGTAAACTTTTAAGTTATGTTTAGTGATACCATAATTTGTGAATTGTAGAACCAATTAAACTGTGATAAGTGATGCTTTTCTTGTTCCCTTTCTCTCCTTGCTTCTTCAATTTTGAGTATTCCCTGCTTTTCACTTGGTACCTTAACCTCAATTTTGATCGTAGCAATGTTTTTGTCCTTTTCTAAGTTTGTAATGTTTTTCTAAAGAATCTTATCGCTGGAAATGTGAATGGCACATCAGATCCTTATGCTCTTGTTACTTGCGATACAGAGAAAAGACTCAGGTAATAAAGATGTTTGACTTTAATACCTTGATGTTTTATCACGCCTAATTCAATATCGGACTATTAATGTAGCTTTTTGGAATAAAAAAGCATTAAGGTAAAGTTGTTTTTTTATTTGTTGCTTCTATTTTCAATTTTGATTATATTAGTAATTATTTGAATTAAATTTTGAAATCCTGCAAGTATTGGCTTAACAGAATTGCCTTTCTGCATCCATGAGGGCAAGGCTGTATCAATATGACCCTTCTCTTCCTCCCCCAACCTAAAAAGAAAAAAAAATCAGTCATAGCAAGGAAACTCTTGTGAAGGATGAGTCACTGGTCAATAGCTACTGGTTATTGCTTTGGCAATTCACATCTGCTGTGTATTTGTATATTTATCTATTCATAGTAAAAATCAGGTGGTAGCTTTACCGTCTTACTGATATGACCGGAGTTGTCTAGCTAGGTTGTTTAGATATTTTTAACTTAAAAAATTATGAAAACTGTTCTGTTTTGTTGTCTCCTATAAAATTGTAAAGGAGATATTATATATATGTAGTCACCATCATAACTACATAAAATTATATATATTGTAGGCAAATGGTTTCTACTGTTGTTTCTTGAGATAGAACAAGCTATTTTGGAACTTTATCTTGGTATGTTCAGAGTATGTTATCTTGTAACTGTGCAGGATTTTAGTTTATTTTTCTGCTTCTCTCGCTGCTTTTGTCTGTCCTCTTTGAATTACATGATAATGTTCTCATGCATTTGATATTAGGAAACAAATTTTATATTGATAAAATGTGCAAATAATTATTTGCTCATTTATCAAATGAGCAAATAATTTTTTGCTCATTTAAATGAGCATTAAATAATTTTTTGTTCATTTGTCAAATGAGCAAATAATTTTTTGCTCATTTATCAAATGAGAAAAAAAATTCAACGCTCTTATGTCAAATGAGCAAACTATTTAATGCTCATTTGTCAAATGCAAATGAGCAAATGATTCTTGCTCATTTTGTCAAATTAATGCTCATTTGTGAGTGTGTTTGAATATTTTAAATACGTTAGCCTACTAGCTCAAGGGTAGAGCACTGTGCAAATGCACAAAAGATGTGGGTTCGAATCCCACGTAGGTTCATTTATGTAATGTGGAGACACAAGTTTGTAGTGTGAGCAAAGAAATGAGAAAACTACACTCAATTAGCATGTAGAGTAGTGTGAAAATGCAGAGTTTGAAAATTTTGATTAGTTAATGAAATTTATTTCTTTTGGCTATTGGGAAAACAATACAAAAGACACCCACTGCTGTCTCTATAAACATCTTGAACTGCAATCTTCACTGTTATTTCCTGTTCCTTTCCCACATGAGTGTTGCGATCAATTATTAATTGCACCAATGCTAACTGCGACATTCTTGTGTACTAAGCAGTTGTATCTTCCTTGATTGACACTGCTTGTGTAGCTTGGCAACAGAAGCAGAAGTATTGTAAGTATGTATACAACAGGAAGAATGATTAACTTATAACTTACAAAAGTTTGAAGTTAAGCTGGAAAAGGAATACCTATTATTTGATCAAGAGGAAGTTGCCTAGGCTAATTCGTGCTAAAAATTTCGGACATTGCATAAATCATATTACAATTATAAGACATGTATAAGAATTGAACAACGATATAGTTGAGCAGAAAAGGAGAGATGATCAAGTTTTTTTTGAAGGTTTTTTTATATAGTTATTTATAAATACAACCTATGTAGGATTCGAACCTACATCATCTATGCATTTGCATAGTGCTCTACCACTTGAGCTAATAGGTTTTTGATATAGATCAACGCCCTCCCATAGAAGCATAGGAAAACAATAAAATGTAGAAACTAAAATGCATCTATTATTACTACAATAGCCACCATAGCTCACAAATTACCCAACACATGCTCACCCAACACAACTACTACTATTATCAAGTAAATTAGTAACAAGTGAATATGCACCCCCTTAAACACACTTACACACACACTCTCAATAATTAGAACTCAAATGAGATTCTTAAATAAGAATGTACACTGCCAGGAGCAAACACACACTTACACATACACTCTTACACTCATACACAGAGACACACACACACACACACACACAATAATAATTTCATAATCTAAAATTAGAACTGAAATCAGTTTCTGAAATCAGAACTGCAAGCAAAAAGATGAGGGGGCAGGGGGGATAGGTTTGTGGAGGGAAGTGGATGAAAGGAGTGTGGTTGGTGTGCAGGAAATAGACCAAGAAGAAGGTGGTGGGGCTTGTGCATAGGCAAGCAGACCAAGGAACTCAATGCTCATTTGTGAAATAAGCAAACAATTCTTTGATCTTTTGTCAAATGAGCAAATAATTCAATGTTCATTTGTCAAATGAGAAAATAACTCAATGCTCATTTGTCAAATGAGCAAATAACTCAATGCTCATTTGTGAAATTAGTAACTAAGTATTTGCTCATTTGACAAATGAGAAACTAATTATTTGCTGATTTGACAAATGAGCAACTAATTATTTGCTCATTTGACAAATGAGAAACTAACTTATTATCGTTGCTCATCACATACTATCAAAACAAGCAGCTAAAGAAACTTATACATCACATATTATCAAACCAACTTCTGTTTTTAGCACTTATTTTACATGGCAAACATCTAATTCTACCAACTACATTCTCCTTAAGCTGAGTAATCATTTGATTAGCATTAATAGTCCCTTGTTCAATTCCATGTGATAACATTCCTCAAATTACCAAGCATTTTCTAACAAGCATTTTATCAAACACCTTGTATGCACTATCAGGATATTCAAAACAAACTCATTGATGATTACCAATTGTTAAGTTAGTTGATCAATCTCTACCATGGCAATAAAATCACCCTTAGGCCCAACCAAGTCTTCGACACCATACTTCTTCCTCATGCGGACCTGCAAGTCCAGCTCGTCCGCAACCTCCTCGATGGTGTCAAGGATCTTGTCTACAGGCAAAATTGAAACTCCTATTGAAAATTTTAACGAAAATCCTAAACTGAGAACACTCAAATTAAAAAAATCGAGCAAAAATTAGAATGTCAAACTCGAATAACCAAAATTAAGAACATTCATATTCAAAAATTTCCAGAATACTAAAATCAAAATTAAAAAATGTGAAACCCAAATTATTGTAATCAAAATCGCACAATCTTGATTTAAAATTCAAATTAAATCATAGACAACAACGAAAATCAAAATCAAATTAACTTACTGTACCTTAATAATTGATGCAATTCGAAATTTTCAGAGCAGTAAAATCGAAATTGAAAAGTTGAACAAACCTTGATACTTATCGAGCCTTCATATTCTTTAATCGAAGTTATTCGTACTTGTGAAGAAGAAGATGAAATCAAAATTGTCAAGCCTTCAAATGGATTAATCAGTCGCCATTGATGAAACTTCGTGGTGGAGAGAAGTCGGCTAACTGGGTAGAGAGAGAAGACATTTAAGTGGTTTGTAGGAGGTTTATGTGATTAATAACAACCGTTCGATTTAATACAATTTAATGGCTGAGATTTGTTCTCACATATGGGATGAGTTCTCACATAGAAGGTGGTTCTCACCGGATCCCGACCCTATATATATATATATATATATATATATATATATATATATATATATATATATTGTTAGAAGGCAATGTGAATGCCAATAATTGATTTGATGTTACAATGCATATATGAGTCCAACCCTTGTGAACCCATATTGTCTATATGTATGAAATCATTGTAATCTTAGTTGAATACTCATGTTATATATAGAGTGGCATGCAAGAGAAATTTAACGAGCAATACTTATCAGTTCCTCTATCTCCTCTTACTCCTTCATTTCTCCGAAATAAAACTTTCTATCAGTAAAATTTTTAACACGTTATCAGCACCAGTTTTCAGTCAGGTATATTTATACCTACTTCTAAAAATTTATAACAAATAATACTATCTACTTCTAAATGTTTCGAGGAGTATGCTCTATAGTTGCCCATATTTGGGATCATCTATACCAGAAACTCAAACATTTACTGTATTATATATACCTCAAAACAACGGTGAAAGTTCTCTTACTTGTGAATTTACTACTATCATCTTTTGTTTATTCATGTTGATGTTTCTTTGTTTGATCCATGTTGATATTACATACTCATTTTACGTAAATTTTTATCTTAGTTATTATAATTGCTAAGTAGTAGCTTTGCATGCATATTATTATTAACTAGATTAACAAAAAGATGCAGCCTTTTTATACTTATTATTTTTCTTACTTTTACATACTTTTTTGTGTTTCTTTCCGTTTTCGAACCCATGATCTTTTATAGATATTAGGGCTCTCGGACCACTATGGCTTGCATTCCCAGTGTGATAACCTTGTACAATTATAAATATATATATTTAGACCATAATTTTTGTCAGTATATTAGATTGTTATATGATATTTTTACAGTTGTATAGAACATTAACGGATAAACCTACCTCTATAAAAGGCGGATTTTTCCCCGATTTCACCACAAATCCCTTATCCCTTCCCACTTTTTATCCAAAAATCACCTAAAAAAATAAAAAAAAATTTTCACCCCCTTCTTCTCCGATATGTTCCCTGACGACGGCAACCAAAACACCCAAAACACCCACAACTTCACTTTTGAGGAAGATTTAATGAAGATAAAACAATATTTCCTTCTAATTACGGCGCTTGTAATTTTATTAGTAGCAATATTAATTTTTGTCATTATGTATAAGTAAAACTCACTTATTTTGTCGTTTTAAAAGCTTGTTTTTGTTTTATTATGTATGTTTGTTGTTATTAATCATCATTGTATAATATTACCGTTATCATTATAATTATTGTTACTACTGTCATTGATGTCGTTTTGCTGTTTTTTTTGCAACTAACATGATTAATTTTTGTCTAATCATATAATTACTCACAATAATAAACCAAGGGGGAGAAAAGACTATATTATTTATGGTTTATTATTATTAAATTTAATTATCACGTGTCTTATTAACTTAATTATAAATATGGAAGAACTAAACATGTGAGTTGTACATATAATTTGTTATTATAATCTAATTATCACGAAATTTGTTGTAGCTAAAATGGGAGACCTTATGAAAAGACAGTTCAGCATCTTAGATTTATCTGGAAAGAAATTTCTGGAATGGAAAGTGGATGCAATGATGAATTTGAAAGCTCAAGGCTTGGAGCACACTGTTAAAGAAAATAAAAGTCCCCCTGGTCAAACAACTGATACTACCACTTCTGCAATGACGGTTGAAAAACCCATTACCGAACAAGAAAAGGCAAAAGCCTTAGTGTTACTAAGGCATCATTTACATGAAGGCCTTAAAACTAAGTACATGATGGTTGAAGATCCCAAAGAATTATGGGACTGCCTTAATGAAAGATTTGGACACCACAAAAGGGTGCTCCTTCCTAAGGCATTATTTGACTGGACAAATTTACGGTTCCAGGATTTCAAATCTGTAATAGATTACAATTCAACCATACATGAGATAGTATCTATATTGAGATACTGTGATCATCCAGTCACCGATGAACAAATGATTCAAAAAACACTCACTACCTTTCATGCAAGCAACATACTGTTGCAAGAACAATATCGTGAAAGAGGTTTTAAAAAGTTTAATGAATTAATTAGTGTATTGCTTGTTGCGGAACAAAATAGCGATCTTTTGTTGAAAAATCATAATCTCAGACCAACTGGGTCTTTGGCCACTCATCATGAGGCAAATGCAACAAATTCCTATCCACCCGAGTCAAATGCTACAAGAAGAGGTGGACGTGGAAATTACAATGGCCGTGGAAGAGGCCGTGGAAATTATCGCGGACGCGGCCGTGGTCGTGGTAGAAATAATTTTCAGAAACAGTAATTTCAAAAATTTTGAAAAACAGAAGGGACAGTCATTTGGAAGCCACAAACAAACTCCTTCGAAAGGAAAAGACACATGTTACAGATGTGGCATGACAGGACATTGGGGACGTACTTGTCGAACGGCCAAACATTTGGTAGACCTTTACCAAGCTTCTGTAAAAGGCAAAGAGAAAAATGCAGAAGCAAATTATGTTAATGCGGAAAATGCTCCTTGTCCCAGCCTTGATGTGTCTGATTATTTCATGGATAATGCTGAAATTGGAAATGATTTCATTCTTGGAGAAAACAACAATACTTAGGTTTCTCATATACTAATGTAACATATGCTATGTTTTAATGTATTTTCTTAGTTCCCTGTATTTTAAATTTCTAGTCATGTACTCTAAATCTCTATCATCAATAAAAGTTTGTATGATATTATTCTAAACTAATCTCAAATTTATTTTATGAAGATATGGATCTACCTGAAGTTAGTTCCGAATATCAATGCCTTTTGGACAGTGGAACAACGCACACTATCTTAAAAGATAGAAAATATTTTTCACAACTAAAGTTGTTTCAAGCAAATGTAAACACCATTTCCAGGTCAGCTAAATTAATTGAAGGATCTGGAAAGGCTTGTATAATGCTTCCAAATGGAACAAAATTAATAATCAATAATGCTTTATATTCGAGTAAATCTCGAAGAAATCTCATAAGCTTTAAAGATGTACGCCAAAATGGCTATCATCTAGAAACAATGACAACAGATCAAAAAGAGTATATATGCCTCACGGCAGAAAAACATGGCAAGAAACATATATATGAGAAATTGCCAGCATACTCTTCGGGGTTATATCGTATAAACATACGACCCGTGGAACTCAATATGGTATCTAACCAGAAGTTAGATGACAAACATTTGATTATTTTATGGCATGATCGTTTGGGACATCCAGCAACTGGGATGATGCAAAGAATAATAGCACATTCAGTTGGAAATTCAATAAGAAATGTCAAAATTCCCCGATCAGATGAATTAACATGCTCTGCATGCTCACTTGGCAAATTAATAATAAGGCCATCTATGAACAAAATTGCTACTGAATCTCCAAAATTCTTGGAAAGAATTCAGGGAGACATATGTGGGCCAATTAATTGAGCATGTGGACCATTTCGATATTTCATGGTTTTAATTGATGCCTCTACACGATGGTCACATGTTAGTCTACTTTCAAGTAGAAATGTTGCCTTTGCAAAATTACTTGCCCAAATCATCAAATTAAGAGCACAATTCCCAGATCATACAATAAAGAAAATAAGACTTGACAATGCTGGGGAATTTACATCCCAAACATTTAATGATTATTGTATGCCAATTGGAATTGATGTTGAACATCCAGTAGCTCATGTCCATACACAAAATGGTCTAGCTGAATCACTAATTAAGAGATTACAATTGATTGCAAGACCATTATTAATGAGATCAAAATTGCCATCATCTGCTTGGGGACATGCTATAATACATGCAGCAGCACTAATTAGATTGAGACCTACAACTTATCATAAATTCTCACCACTACAACTTGTTTGTGGTAGAGAACCAAGTATCTCACATCTAAAAATCTTTGGTTGTGCTGTATATGTTCCTATTGCTCCACCCCAACGAACAAAAATGGGTCCACAAAGAAGGCTGGGAATTTATGTCGGGTTTGAATCCCCCTCTATATTTAAATATCTTGAACCATTGACTGGTGACTTATTTACGGCTAGATTTGCGGACTGTCACTTTAATGAAACAGTATTCCCAGCCTTAGGGGGAGAGAAAGTGGACCCACGTAAGAAAGAAATTGAACTCATTTGGAATGCAACACAACTGTTGATGTTAGACCCACGAACAAATATGTGTGAACAAGAAGTTAAGAAAATTGTTCATTTACAAAGTGTTGCAAATCAATTGCCTGATGCATTTGTAGACACAAAGAAGGTGACAAAATCACATATACCAGCAGAAAATGCCCCTACACGTATTGAAATCCCAACTGGTAATAAGGCCATAGAAAATGAATCTCAGGCACGCAGAAAGCGTGGAAGACCACTTGGTTCAAAAGATTCTAAGCCAAGAAAATTGAAAAGATTGGATGGAATAGAAAATGAGACTAATGATGTTCCCCCGTCAGAAGGTCAAGAAAAACCAAATGTGGATGAAAGTAAAGAAAATGATGATAATCCAAAAGGGGACGAACAAGAAGACAACCCTACGGGGAATGAACAAGATGTTCAAAACATCGATAACAATGAAATTTCAATGAATTACGTCTCTACAAAGACTCAGTGGAATAGGAAAGATGTTATCGTTAATGAAACATTTGCAAATTCCATCGCAATCGACATCGTGTCTGATGTAAATGATGTTGAACCAAGAACTGTAGAAGAATGTCGACGTAGGAGTGATTGGCCAAAGTGGAAGGAGGCAATGCTGGCTGAGTTAAAATCACTTGAAAAACGAGAAGTTTTTGGGAAAATAACCCTTACACCAGCAGGTGTAAAACCCGTTGGATACAAATGGGTATTTGTGAGAAAACGTAATGAGAAAAATGAAATAGTTAGATACAAAGCAAGACTTGTAGCCCAAGGATTTTCTCAAATTCCAGGGATTGATTATGAAGAAACATATTCTCCAGTGGTTGATGTAACTACATTAAGATTTCTGGTAAGTTTGACAGTCACAAAAGGACTGCAAATGCGATTAATGGATGTAGTGACTGCGTATTTGTATGGGTCACTCGATACGGACATTTACATGAAAGTCCCCGAAGGACTAAAACTACCAGAAAACCACAAGCTTAGACAACTGCTTTCCATAAAACTAAAAAGGTCACTTTATGGATTGAAACAATCTGGAAGGATGTGGTACAACCGTCTGAGTGAATACCTTATGAGAGAAGGATTTAAAAACAACCAAGTTAGTCCCTGTGTTTTCATAAAGCGATCACAATCAGGATTCACTATCATTGCAATTTATGTTGATGATTTAAATATCATCGGAACCCCAAATGAACTCGAGAAAACTGCAAAATACTTGATGAAAGAATTTGAGATGAAAGACCTTGGGAAAACTAAATTTTGCCTTAGACTACAAATTGAGCACTTGAGTCATGGCATTTTTGTCCATCAATCAAACTATACAGAAAGAGTTTTGAAACGTTTCTTCATGGACAAAGCAACCCCAACCAACTTCCCAATGGTTGTTCGTTATTTGAATATGAAAAATGATCCATTCAGACCCCGAGAAGAAAATGAAGAGATTCTGGGTCCAGAAGTACCATACTTAAGTGCAATTGGAGCCTTAATGTACTTAGCTAACAATACTAGACCCGACATAGCTTTCTCTGTGAATTTGTTAGCCAGGCACAACAATGCACCAACATATAGGCATTGGAAGGGAGTTCGACACTTACTCCGGTACCTACGAGGGACACAAGACCTTGGTTTATATTACCAACTAAAACAAGATGCTGCTCTCATTGGGTATGCAGACGCTGGATACTTATCAGATCCTCAAAATGCCAAGTCACAAAATGGATATGTGTTCACTTATGGCGGCACTGCAATATCATGGAAATCAACAAAGCAGACATTGACCGCGACATCATCAAATCATGCAGAGTTGATAGCCCTCTATGAAGCAGGACGGGAATGTGTATGGCTAAGGTCGATGATCAGTAATATCCAAAAGGAGTGTGGAATGAACGCAATAACAGAAGACCCAACCATCATCTTTGAAGACAATACAGCATGTATCGCTCAAGTAACTGAAGGATATATTAAGGGAGATAAAACGAAACATATTGCCCCAAAACTGTTCTTCACACATGATCTGCAAAAGGACAAGGAAATAAATATCCAGCAAATTCAGTCTTGTGAAAATCTTGCCGACCTTTTCACCAAATCACTTCCTTCGAAGAAATTTGAACAGTTAGTTCACAAAATCGGAATGCGACATCTTCGTGAACTATGCTGAGATCAGGGGGAGTATTATATGTACTGCACTCTTTTTCCCTTCGATCAGGTTTTTATCCCACCAGGTTTTTCCTGACAAGGTTTTTAACGAGGCAGTATACCAAAGCATATAATACTATATCGTTGTACTCTTTTTCCCTAGCTATGGTATTTACCCCATAAGGGTTTTACCTAGAAAGGTTTTTAATGAGGCAACAAATACCTTTTGTGTATAAGTATGGGCATTCAAGGGGGAGTGTTAGAAGGCAATGTGAATGCCAATAATTGATTTGATGTTACAATGCATATATGAGTCCAACCCTTGTGAACCCATATTGTCTATATGTATGAAATCATTGTACTCTTAGTTGAATACTCATGCTATATATAGAGTGGCATGCAAGAGAAATTTAACGAGCAATACTTATCAGTTCCTCTATCTCCTCTTACTCCTTCATTTCTCCGAAATAAAACTTTCTATCAGTAAAATTTTTAACATATATATATATATATATATATATATATATATATTGTATATATGCTTGTTCTCTTACCCTATTTGTTGCGAGTAATAAGAAACAAAAGTAGTATAATTTATTTATTTATAACCTGTAAAATAAGTTTTAAGAATGACATTATCATATACTTCATTCAATTTATGTTATTAGATTATTAGTATACCATCACTATCATTCAAATTACATCATCATAATCATATGTATCTCTTGATAAATTAATGATGAAAGTATTTGCGTTGACATAAACATACAATTTAATTAAAAGAAATTGATTGAGGTTTAGAGGCCCTTAACAGTAAAACCCCCGTCAATGCAAATAGTTTGTCCAGTGATGTAGGATGCGACGGGCATGCAAAGAAAAGCCACCACGGAAGACACCTCTTCTGGTTCTCCTATCCTTCCTAATGGAGTAATACTTTCCACAGTTTTTAAAAAACCTTCCATATTATCCACGGCCTGTTAACAATTACAAACATAAAAAATATGTAACGTTAACTAGCTAGGAATAAAACAAGACGCAATAATTACGTTCACATATACAATAATTAAGCTGAAGCTCCGTTCACTTCGCCTTATTTTTGCTAAATTGAAATTATTTTTACTGAATTGAAATTATTTGTTGAACTTAAATTATTTTTACTAAACTGAAATTATTTTTAATATAGATTTTATACCCAGTATTATATTTCTTTAGAATTTTACCAAACTAAACTTATTTTTGCTGAAGTAAATTATTTTACTTAATATTATTTTTTATGGTGAAAAAATAGGGCCTTAAGGCATATTCACATATACTAAACTTAGTTGAGCTAAAATGAATATTTTATGAGAGAAGGAAATTAAGAGCTAAATAAAACTGAACTGGACTGATTGAAGCTGAATTGAACTGAATTGAAATTAAGCTGAAGTGAACATGCCTTTACTGTACCTTTTTAGAAATTGAAAATTGTATGCTGAATCTCTTATTATTTCATGAGCATAAGAGTTACAACTAAAAACCTAATATACTCCATATATATATATACATCGATACATACATGTTTGTGTGTAAGATTTAGATTACCTGGTTAGTAAGAGGGGTTCGAATAAACCAAGGTGCAACAAAATTAACCCTAATGTTATCCTTTCCCCACTCGCACGCCAAGTTCTTTGCTAGTTGATTCATTGCTCCTAGTAGAAAGAAAATACAGCATATACAGTGATGTAACTTTAGTTCAAATAAGGAAAATGAATTGAAGACATATTTAACATACAATTATCTTCAAAATCTTAAACAAGCCTCACTCTATGAAACTTTTCTATACAAAAAGTCCAAAGCTCACCAATCGCCAGCCCATGTGCTCTTTAGGTCCATACAAAGTATTATTTTAACATACAATTACCTTCAAAATCTTAAACAAGCCTCACTCTATGAAACTTTTCTATACAAAAAGTCCAAAGCTCACCAAGCGCCAGCCCATGTGCTCTTTAGGTCCATACGAAGTATTATTTATCACCTCATATATATATATATATATATATATATATATATATATATATATATATATATATATATATATATATATATATATATATATATATATATATATATATATATATATATATATATATATATATATATATATATATATATATATATATATTAACACCTAAACAAGGTATTTACAAAATTTACTACGGAGTATAAGAGTAGCATTTATTGTAATTTTTTTTTGTTGGTAAGATGAAGGGCCCTATCGGCTATTGGGCATAAATTTTTTTCAGGTCAACTTGGTTCGGGTTAACAGGCTAGATAATTGGGAACAGTGAGAAGGTAAGTGAATCTCACTCTGCCAAATTATCACTAGTGGGGATTGAACCTCTAACCTCATGGTTGGAAGGAACTCTCCTTTCCACTAGATTAAGCTTGACTTGGTTAGTATTTATTGTTCTTGCACTCGCATTCAATACTATGTCTAGTATTCGCTACACTGCCACATATTTACTTAGGCTTCACAAAGCTAAGCTTGGTTTAGTGGTAAGGACTGCACGTTCCAACCTTCTTGCACTAGCATTCAATACTATGTCTAGTATTCACTACACTGCCACATATTTACTTAGACTTCACCAAGCTAAGCTTGGTTTAGTGATAAGGATTGCACGTTCCAACCTTGAGGTTATAGATTTAATTTAACTACTAGAGACACTTTGAGGGTGGGCATACCTTATCCTTCTTCCCTCACTCTCAAAGTGCCTGCGCTGACTCGCAAATGACTAACTAAAAAAACCGTGAGGATTGAGATATGCTAGCTAGGATCTTTCTCTTCACCTTTATTAAAATAAAAATCTACTTAGGTCTCGGATACACCCTCGAGGCAGTAACATGTACTCTTATGTAGGTATTCTCGACCTAATTGCAATTGGACCAATCTCATCCTCAGCCCACTACTAAAGGTCTTAGTCTAGACCATATTGTTTTTACTATACCCGAAACAACCCGAATTGATCAATAATTCATCACTAATTGTCCCATCAGAATTGAACTGAAATGGAAGTAAATGAGTCACTTAAATACATTGTATAGTCAAAGGGTAAAATTAGTTTCCTAATTTATAGACTATATTTGCGCGGTCCTTTGTATATATGGCTAAGGAATCAATCATTATAATCAAGGATCATAATCATTGACTATATATACAATAACTATAGGCTACAAATAATTAGGAAACTAATTATACTCTTTGACTATACAATATATTTATAATATACTACTCCCTCCATCCTTTTTAGATTCGTACTTCTCTTTATTATGTGAGGAATAAATGTTAGAATTAGGAATCTAATTAAGGGATGGAGGAGTACCTTTATGTTTTTTGTTGACACCTTTATATTATCACGTTTGCCACGCTCTATTTTAACCATCAATATCTCTAATTTTCGATATTTAAAAAGTGGATATTAATAAAATGCTAGAAATTTTTTTTATAGCTATATAAAAATTTGTGTTAAAGATATGTCAAATCTTTTTATTTTTAGTAATTATTTTATATAACATTAGGGAATTATTTTTGTATAAAATTTGTTTCAAGTGATGACACGTGTCAATACTGGTATGTCTTTTAGTATATAGTTAGTGATTGATTATTGCTGATGATTATTGATACATTGAAACGATTCAAACAAGATCTTGCATGATTATGTTTTATTGTAGCTATAAATCACAAAAGCTAGTCATAGTGTAGTACGTAAATAGTACAAAAGTCAAATGATGTCAACTTAAAAAAAAAAAAAAAGAAACAGAAGAAGTATTTAAGAAAATCATCACCTAAACATGACCTAACCAATGGAGTGTATCTTTCCACAAGCCCTAAAGACTTCCTAAAGCATGGAAGCGTTTAATTTGTAGAATGCAAGTAGGATGACTTATTGCAAATTAATAAACTTGCAACTACCTTACAATCAAGAAATAATAGTTTATCACTTTATCTTGATTGTCTTAAGAAGTTGGATATAAAAATTGATTCATACCTTTTGTTGCTCCGTAAAGAGAGGCACCACCGATGGACACAACACCAGCAACAGATGACATGAAGATGATGTTCCCGGAACCCGATTTTTTAAGAAGAGGGTAGGCTAGTTGGCTTAAATGGTAGCCAGATTCAAGGTTGGTGCTCATCGTTGTTGCATAATCTTCGGCTGTCAACTCCTCCGTTCGTTTTGATGTGCAAGTCCCAACATTGTTCACCTATTTATATAGAGATTTTTAGATTAACCAAACATATATCATAATCAATAGTTAACCTTGGGACAATAAGGACTCCAATCTCATTAGTTAACCTTGGAATAATAAGGACTCCAATCTCATTAGTTAACCTACTGAGATTAATCAAAGTCACACGACATCTATAATTAACAATTATTGCTAATGAAAACAAATCTAACAAAATCAAATAGGAATTAACTAGTGAAGGGCTAAGAATACAAATACATAAATGTAACAATTCGACACATTCTTGATTTGTTGTCTCAAATCTTTTTGAGTGAATCCGTCGTCGCTTCATAATTTTGTGAAAAAAAATAAAATCTTTTGCTGATTTTGTAACTCAAATCCAAGCAATAATCAATCGTTGCCCCGCACAGGTGGAGACCAAATTAAATACAAACAACACCTTGCCTTTTGAAGGAGTTCGAAGAACCCTTTCTTTCGAGGGAGATTATTATAACCTAAAAAAAAACTTAAAAGAAACAAAGATTGAGACTTTTCACCGAAGAAATCCAATGAAAGCCGGCCGCTTTGAAAAATGTTAGAGTTTAGGAAAGATAAGAGAGAGAGAGAGGAGTCTACGTTTTTATTTTATTTATTTATTGTATGTTGCAATTTTATTGTCTGCATCATTTAGTTATTGTAACTCTTGTCTCTTGCTATACTAAAAAAAAAAATGATCTTTATTAAAATTATTATTATTATAGTCTTTTCTATAATAGTGTAAGGACGATTTAAAATAGAGCTTTGGCATACATTAATAAGTACCACATGTGTTTCCTATTAGTTGACGTCAAAATTAATTATCATATCATATATACCTAATATATAAAGCTAAACTTTTAGCCAGATCACGAGACAGCGACACTTGACGTTCTAACTATTAGATTATAACTCTAAAAAAAATACCAATATTTTTTTTGATGTTTAGAGAGCCCATTAGGGCAAGGGTGAGAATTGATCCCAAGACCTCCTAGAATTGGGAGGGAAGCTCTAACCACTTGAGCTATCCCTCACTCTCATAAAATACAAATATTATTATTAGTCATTTACATGCCTAATATATAGTTTAAATCGTTACAAAAGCACATCAATTCCTAACTAATTTCGTATTAAAGATATATTTTGAAATTTGACATATAGATTAAAAATTTATTTCAAAATTTAAAAAAACAACCCGCGCATCGCACAGGACACAAAACTAGTTTAACTTAAGTATAAATCATGAAGGAAGGTAAGTAATATACAAAGTATCTATATTTATGGTAATATATAAAGTGAAAGGGGGTTTTGGGTGATAAATTTTTATTTTCCAAAATGTCGCTGTCGTTTTTTATTTTCTTTATATATACAAGCTACGAGACACACGCTATGCGTGTACATTATAGGAAATTTATTAATTTACTCATAATATTGTTATTGTGGATTTTTTCGAAGATTAATACTTACATAAACTTTAAATTTAAGAATGCATTTTTTTTTGTCAATAGGACATCTACTCCACTTCGTGTACCTCAGTTAACCTTAAAAAATATTGTTGATCGTTGAGTTTATATATTAAAGATTGAAAACTATAGAGTAAACATCTACGGTAATAGTACGTATATAGATTAGATTGATGTATAATTTTTCCTTTTATTTTTTCTAATAAATTTTAAGGTTTTTTTTTTTTCCTTTGTAACGTAGATTTTTTTGAGGGAACTATATTGGTATTAATTTTTTTCCTTTTTTTTTAATAAAATCATGATATAGTTATTTTTTAACAAAGTTTAACGTGGTTTTTTTCAATTAAAAAAAATATAAATGTGGTTTGTGGTTAGTTACATTCTTTTTTATTTGTGAAAATTAGATAATTTTTGTTTGTTTTTAGTGATAATTCCGGTTAGTGGGTAATTAGTTTTTTTATTTGAAAGAATAGATATATATTTTTTTTGCAGTAGTTATGAATGAATTTTTTTCTTTTTTTTTTTTTAAAAAAAATATTAATTAATGAATAAGTAATTTTTTTAAATTGAGAAGGGCATTTTGGGGAAAGACAAATTTATCACCCAAAAGGCCCTTTCTCTTTATATAGTAGTATAGATATATAAAAAAAACTACCTTCATTTAACAAAAATAAAAAATAAAAAAACATCCCTTATTCAAAAATTTAAAAGCTAAAAAAAAAAATGTTATTATTCATTTTTTTTTAGAGAAGGCATATCATTCTATTGCCTCCATGATTTCATCAATTTTTAAATACTAATATTTTTTTATTATAATTTTTTTTTGAAAGATTTTTTTAATTAGAACAAGATAAATAATAATATTTCATGAAAAAAAGAAAATCGAGCCACATAAATTTCTTATAATGCACACGCAATGTGTGTGTCTCTCATAGCTTGTATGTATAAAACAAAGTTAAAATGTGTCAACGAACTAGTACAAAGCGGTAAGGATAGAGAAATTATGGAAAGGGAAAATTGTTGTCCTCTAAGATTAATAATGTAATAATTGATTGATTGAAAAAAATGGATAATTTGGAGTATATGGATACCAACCAAGATGTTGAGCACGCCATTGAACTTTGTAGAAACGGTCTCCATTAACTTATTTCGTTGGGCTCGTTGTGCTACATCACATATTGAGCCACTAACCTGGAAACCTTTAGCCTCAAAATTGCGTATGCACTCTTCAAGTCTAGCCTCATTTCTAGCACATGTATGAATTTTAGCCCCTTGTTTGGCTAGCTCTTCTACAACGGCTAATCTACAAAGGTAAGATTGTACAAGGAAAATAAATAAAAGAGGTCATGTTGATATTCATTGATTCCTACTTTTAACATATTATTAATGGGTCAATCATGTTATATGAAGTATATTTTTACTTTTAAGAACGGGGATTTAACAAATGTGACAAACTAAAATAAATAAATGAACATGTTACGAGTTTTGTACTTTATAGCCGAAAAGATTGGATCCTATGAACACAACAAAGGTAATTGGTTAAACAATTAAGAGGCCTATTAATGGACCTCATGAGGATATGACAAGCCATGTAAGGAGTAGGGCTAGTGTAGTTAGAAGTGGGCTAGGAGTTTGGGCTTCACATGTACGCTAATTATATATGTGATATATAAATAGACACTACTACAAAAAGTGAGTGTTTTTGGACGCTTTTTAGGTCTTTTTTCAACGCTAAAAAGCGTCGAAAAAAAATTTCTCGACGCTGCTAAAAAGCGTCGAGAATCCGTGAGTCGAGAATTTTGAGGGACACAGAAAAGCGTCGAGAATTTCGACGCTTTTTTGTGTCTAAACTAATATACGAAGTGTCATAAAATACTAATTTCGCGCATTTTCCCAACTTTGTGTAGTTTTTTAGCGACACTTTTACATGTCCACATACTCAAGTTTAACGACGCTTTTTGTTGTCTCGCGTTTATTCGTGTTAGCCTATGGTATGACGGGAAACTTTTGAAATGTGAAAATATGCAAAATATGTGGACATTAAAAAGCGTCTAGAAATTTTTTTAAGCTTTTTTTTTTAAATTTTTTTTCGTTTTATTAAATTATTACCATCATACATACATTATAGTTCTTTAAATTTGTTTTAAATTAAATCAATAACATTAAAATTAGAGCAAACAAATATTCTATATAACTAGATCAGATTACAAAAAAAAAAAAACAATAATTAATCAACAATAATAAGAGTACATAGTTAATTAAATTACCAAATTTATAAACGAAAACATCATCACAATTAATTATTAAAAAAAAAGGTCGCATATTATAGTAGCTTGTCCCTAAATAAATACATCACTAATATAATTAAGACTAAAAACCAAAATAGATAGATGATGGCGTTATAGACGATGTAGTCGCTTGTTTTGATGCTCAAGTGTTCCGTCCTATTCTCTTGTTGCACCTACATTGCCTTTTCCAATCTTCAAAAAAAAAAAAAAATACAAAATATAAATTAGTACATTACACAATATAAGCTTATTCACACACACATACACACACAAGCTTATAATTCCATCTTTCCATTACTATCAACCACCACATATGAAGATAAATCAGCAATCGAATGAGGAGCACAACCAAATACCAGGGTACCACCAACGGGCTGTCCATGATGATTATCCACTACAATGCCCGCATTATCAACTAGTAGAAGCACCTTCTTATCTTTTGACAACAATTTGAGACAAGGAATAGCGACCGTGTTAGGCAGAACAACATGAATTGTAAATACCAGAATACCAGATGGGTTTTTGTATCTAGTTGATCTGCAATCAAATACCAGAATTGCCAAATACCAGTGTACCACCAACTCAACAATTGATTTGCATGGATCTGTAATTGTTATAGCCTGTGAAAATATCAAATCAACATGCCTTGTAATACAGGACATCAAACTATAAGCATTATCGGTCCCTAAAATGAATGAATCATCAAGCCAAGCCATACTCTTCACACCATCAATACACGACATTTCCTGTAAAACCACAAACAACCCACGTTTCCCATTGACCTCTCGATCATGCTTACTACTGCCTGAATTCAGCTCAATGAACACCACTTTCTTCCCCATTGCCACCACAAAAAGGTAGGCACCATCATTATCCACTCCCTTAGAACTGAATTCCTTAACCCTTGCCCCATTCGATCTAACCCCGCCACCTAACTTTTTCATAAGCCTCCCACCTACACTACTACCACTACTACTAACTCCCTATTCATTAATCCAATTAGAATTTCCAGATTTAGTACTACAAACCCTTCTAGCAACAACATTAACACCCTTCAGAATCCCTAACTTTTTCACAGGTTGTAACAATTGCAAATCAACTAGATACAAAAACCCATTAGATAGAACCAAAATTCTACAATTTGATTAACAACATGAATTGAATTAATACAAGAATGACTGATACTAACACATCAGATATAATTTGTGTGCATTCAGATGCATTTGAAGCACAATAATACTATAAGATTATTAACAACTTAAAATAGCCATTTCATTCACCAATTGTAAATAAGCTTTAAGAATACAAGAACTCAAGAGTGAACTTGATTGCATGAAAGACCAAACACATATTGAAATCAGATTAGTCTGCTAAGCAACAACTTAAGTATAAATGTATCAAATCTGATTTTCAGATCTGAAATTCAGTTCTGAACTTCAGATCTGAAATTCAGCTCTGAATTCAGTTCTGAAATTCAGCTCTGAATTCAGTTTTGAATTCAGTTCTTAAATTCAGCTCTAATTCAGTTCTGAAATTCAAAGCTGGATTCAGTTCTAGATTTCATCTTAGTATTCAGTTTAAGGGTGTAGACACCCATTTGTGTCTCCCCAAAACCAAACCCAGTGATGAGTACCTTTCACGTCGAATCACAATCGAATGAAGCGAAAGTGTGAAAAGTTTAGTGTTGCGGATAGTTTTAATTTCTTTTCTCTTCTCTCTGTTTTTGAAAACTTATTTTAAGAAAACAGCCAATCCAGTTTGGTTGGTCCATGATATGGGTCCAATAGTAGTGTAGTTGGACGGGACTTGACAAGAGCTTTCCAACGATATATTATAAGCCCAATTCCGATGAATATTGAGGAAGTTATGGCCAATTACTGAACTGGGCCCGGTTTGAGCCTTATATGCGGCCCAATGATCTAGAGGAGGGCCTAATATAGATTTATCATTCCTAATGCAATTAGGAATGGTTTTAGTCATCTATATTCTTCTAGAAGGTTCTTTTCATTCCTAATTCAATTAGCATTGATAAATTGACTTTTGTTGACTTTTCAGAGTTTTCAAAGAACATTTTTTGAGGTAACACCCCAATAATTCTCCCTTTTCCAAACCACTTACTTTAAATAAAAATAGAGGAGAACCATTGGCATGTTACCGCCACGTGTTAAAACGTTAAGGCTTTATCAAAGTATTGCAGCGGAAATCCAACTTAAATATTAAAATAATATAATTTAGAAAACCAATAAGTCAAAGCTTACAAATTGGAACCATAAAGGTCCTTATTAAAACCAAACCAATATTCCAAAATCCCAAAACATAATTAAAATAGTAAAACATAAATAAGTTCAACACAAAGAACGAATACTCTCAATCACACCAATCCCTTGACAATGCGTATGTCAAATCCCCGAACTTCACATCATCAAGCTAACCTGTGCAATACTGCTCCCTAATAATACAAGTGTAATAATTGGATCATCACAGGGTCATTGAAAGGCGAAGGCCATGACCAAAAGAAAACACACAAAAGCACGCAATTAGCAAAGCTGAGTACATACAAGCTACAACGTACCAAGCCTAGCATGCTCAACTAATTAAAGTAAATAAACATACAACATAAATTCATTAATCAAGACTCCATACTTAAACAATTCAATCGACTCAACTTACTTGCTAATCAATTCCAAACACTTGAATCTTTATATTTAATTTAATTAATTTAGTTGGAGTAAGCAATAGACGAGGTTGTCCAATCCACCAAATCATTTTGGTCCCAAATGACCATTTAAAATAAAAGTTTAGCGCGATGCAAGAATGGGCGCGACTCCATTCTCACAAAGTTAGTCTAGGATCCCATCTAACTTTCATTATAAAATAAAAATGTAAATACCAAAAGAGAAGAGGACATGTTGATCAAATAAGCCTCGGAAAGCCACGGGCTACCACCGTGTACCCCAACCCATAATTGTCAATACTCTAGAAGTGCACGCTTTCCAGAGTTTTATTACTCATCCATGTTTCACTTTACGTGATTACAATTTTAATTAATAGCCGACTCAATCAAGAAGACCATACATAACAATCATACATCAATTTGCTTTTAATCTTATTTAGGACAATGGTGATCACATCACAAGTTGACCTTTAATTTCATTAAACTTCCAAATTATCCAAATTGTTGAATATAGTCAACCCACCTAGCCATTTCGGCTTAATCCACTTTTACTCAACATACTAAAAAGTCATTCTTGATTTATAAATAAAATAAATTACAACCTTGTGGAATAATTAATAAATTCATTCCACTTAAACCATTCAATTCCAATCCTTTAATAATCTAAATGTGGTTAACAAACCGATCCAATAAAAATATGCCTGTATCAACATTCCATACAAACAATTAATCCAATATAATTCAACATGTTTGCATCCATAATTCCATACAAACATAATCAATTCACCAATACTTGTCTCATAAACATAAGCACATGAATTAATTAAATGTATAACCAAACAATTTTCATCCAAGTGTTCTCTAATCATGAAACTAAGTTCTTTTCTTTGGTACCTAAACATGATACTACTTACAACGAAGTAGACATGTACGTACCTCGTATAAACAATCCTTTGTGCCACTTTTAATCACTTAAAAGTCTCCTAATAAATAACCACTTCCTAGAAAACAAGAAACAATAATAAATTAATACTTAACCAAATTTCCAGCAATATAATTTAGATTAAAACTCCTTAAAACTTCATTAAAAACATGTTTTTATGGTTAATTATGCATTAGAAATACAATAGGAACAAAAGCCCCAATTTAATTAGTCATAAGAACCCTAAAATCCCAATTTAAATAAATTAAAACCCTAGGTTTTTAAAATTATAAAATCTGAAAATTATAACAACAATTATAATCTGAAATTATTAGTTTAAAACATAAAAACATGATTTTGATACTAAAAATATAAACTTTATACTATAAAATCAAAACCCAAAACTAATCATAAACATTAAGCATAAAAAAAACTTCGTCAAAAATCAAAAACTGCCCGAAAATCATATTTAGAAGCTGAATTTGGCCACGAGAGGGTGGTGATCACTACCAAAGGTAGTGAAGCTTTCTTAAAACATTGTTTCCACATGGAAAAAACTACTTTTTTGTCAAAATAAGATGAGTTCCGAACCTTTGGGATTAAAACGAGATTAATATTAACGAACCAAAATCTAAACATTAAAACACGAATTTACGTCTTCAAAATAATCTGGAATTAAGTTAAACTAATTAGTAGTATAATCACCA